TAACTCTGGTTGTTTCTGAGTATAGAGATTATAGGTGAATTTAGTTCCATTTCCTCTACAAGGATTTGTCTTCTCTAATTTTTGTACAATGATATGTTGGCTATTAATCGTGTGACAAAAATGTAATAAAATTTAAAAAATCACAATGACCTTGAGTTCCCACAGTTTTGGCAAAAGCCTAGGATGTACGATTTCTAACAAAATCTGGAATGTGCATGTTTCATGTATCTTACTGCAGCTGCATGGAGCTCCTTTTTAGATAGTTTCATGACTATTTTAAATTGAGGGTGAGAATCAGGTTTCCTGGTGTTTCCATTCACTTCTCCATCTTCCCAGATATCTACAGTGTAATACTTTGAAAAGTGGTTGTATTTTTTTCTTTAGTATTGTTACCTCTCTTTGGATTTACTCCTTTCTGACTTCTGTACATCTTTTGTTATTTTTATTATTTTATTTAACTTTTGATTTTATAAATATTTTACATAAAATGGTTTTTTATTAGAGTTTACTTTTTTCCAGGAGATCTAATTCAAAAGTATGTGGACCATAAAGTGCATTTTACAAACTAACCCCTTGCTTAAATATTGTTACACTTCACATCTTAAAGATTAAAGATTTAAATTTAATCCATTTTCCTTAGAAAGCATCATAAAGGCCATGTACCAGGCTGGAGGAAAATCAATGTCTTTTTTAATGGATACCATATATGTTAAAAAGTAAATTGACCTTTATTCATGGCTTTGTCCATTTCATGCCACTTTTGTTCAATTCTATTTGGTGAAATAATTTTTAGTATCTATCGAGCTCCTCCCTGAAAACTGTTTCAGTGGTTACTAATGATTCATTAGCCATTGTTTCAACAGGGTTGTCCTTGAATTCACAGCAACATTGAGAATTATGTTTGTTCCAACACATCTGTTATATTAGTCAGCTTTTAGTTCTCTATTATGGGAATCTCAGAAACCATTTGACTGGGTTCAAGTTATCTGTGAATTTTCATAATATTTTATGGCCACCGGCTGCATTTTATGACTATATATTAAATGTTTTATTTTTTCAAATAACTTTTCCAAATGGTCTCAGTTTCCCATCCAAGGAAAATCAGGCATATGCCCAAACATCTACTGTTCAGCAAGTTACAGCTAGTGTGAAACCCCAAATAAATGAAAAAGAAACAAAAATAAAAGTCTTCTTTAAAAAAGAAAAATCCCGTGTAAAATACCAGTGTTCCCAAAAATCTGCATACCTGACCTTTTATTGAATCTTTTCTTAGTAGGACATGGCTTCAGCTTTTAATTGGAACCTTTTTCATAATTGTTGCCATTTAACACATTTAGTCTGTCAAATCATGGAATGTCTTTATAGCCATATAATAAACCCTAGAGAACAACTTCTCTGACTGTAGCCATCTGCAATGATCACAAGAGCAGCTTACAAAATACTGACAATCTTTACGGTAATAGGATACATATGGCAGCCCACAATTATGTGTAGCTGCATTCAATTAGTGTTGTACAATTACACAGTTTTATTGCTTAGTTAAAACAGTGAAAGCACTACATACTGGGTAATTTGCACTAATCCCCGTCTCTTTAATAGCCCCTCAGTGTTTAAAATGTGGGGGAACATCTATAGTATTTAAAGGGCCTAGGATGAGCATTAAATGATATCTCATGTTGTGAATACTCCTTGAGTGACAATTAATGTACTCCCACTTCATGTGTGGGTCATGTTTTATAGAGACTTTAAAATACAGTTATAGCACCAAGTGCTCCTTACACCAGAACCCTGCTTGCTGGCTCAGGCTGTCCAAGCCTACCTTTGCAGGCTGCTACTGTCCATTCTGAAGGATGGTGAGGATGGTCAGAAACACTGAGGAACAAAGTCAGAATTGGTTCAGAGAGGAGTAGAAGCCAAGGACTTGGCCTTTTAAATGTGAACTTGTTAAAAGCCTTTCCTACTTCCTAACTTTTAATTACAAACTTAGTTCAAAGTGAATTTATAGCTGCCATTTGAAAAAATACTTGCTAGAGATGGTTTTGCGAAGATGTGTGTGTATGTGTGTGTGTGTGTGTGCATGTGCACACTTGAAACAGATGTATTTAGCAATCTGATTTTTAACCAGTTTTAATTACATCTTCAAGTGGCCTCTCTCATGCCCCTCTGTAATTGGCTGGGTAAGAGATGGGGGTGAATGCAGCTCAAGTTGCAGCAGGAGCCCACGGTGAGCACCAGCGTGAGGAGGCTCAGGAAAGGGGCTCTCCCAGTGCAGGAGGAGAAACACCGGCATGTTCTCCGTCCTTCTCCCAAAGTGTTGACAGAGAAAAACCCAAAGTAACCTTGTTTCCTGCCCTGCCTGACAGTGAGTTCAACAGAATTTCAAATTAGAGGCCTAGACATTATTCACATGTGAAAACATGTTGTTGCAGCATTGCTAGTGGACTCATGTCTAGATATGTTTTCAATTACATGGGATAGGCCTTTGTCTCTAAGCCCTCACTGTCTCTCCTAAACATCACTTGAACCTCTCTATGTTCATGAAAATTCTACTGTCCGGTTTTCAAAGCAAAAGAAAAACATTGGACAAATTGTTAAAGAGAGAGAAAAAGAACATTAAAATTATAGATTGTGTGTATTTTATTTAAATGGGTTTGGGATTTTTAGCAGTATTATTACTTTTAGGTGCCCATTTTCTTTATTTTAGGTAGGATTCGTAGTGGGTTTTTTTTCTTAGTTATTGAAACTTTGAATGATATTTCTTATCTGTATTTAATATAATTGGTGTACGGCTATATGTTAGATGGAATTCCTATGAAAATGGAGATGCTCAAAAATAAAACCTTTGCCACATGTAAGAGAATTATGTGGTCATACTCAAAACTAAATGGGACTTATGACCGGCTCCATCAACATCTGCTTTTGTCCAACTTTTGAATAAAATTAGATGACATAGATACTACATTCAGAAAAAAGCTACAGAATTCTTGCATAAATGGAGTCGAATAAATCAAAATCTGTACAACCTCACAAAGCACACATCATGAATGTTTGGACCTAACAGAACATCAAAGCAAGAGATTATTTTTCATTTTAGAAAGGTTATTGGTAACAAAACGGAATTAAGGAAGTAAACAATTCTTCTCTGTTTGGGAAATAAACTAGACAAACTATTAGATGTTTCCATCTCAGATTTCTTTCCATGAAAAACATTTGCTTGTCATTTGGATGACCACAACAGCTAACGTGCTAAGATTAAGACTATAATTTAGGGATTTCTTTTGCCTGAGAGCATTTAGGCTGGTGACAATATTGTGTTTTGCAGTTCTGATGCCTCAAAGCCTCTAACTCTGACCAGATTATAGTGACCAGGGCTGGACAGCTTCTTCATTAAGTAGGGAGGACAGTGTCCATCCCAGTGACAACTGGGCAAAGCCACATCTGTGAAGGACACGTGGTTGTCTTTGCCCTAAAAACCCAAGTGCATGTGACCTCACAGGTCTTTGGATGCCTCCCCCTGGGCAGTCCAGACTTGGTCATGACCCAGAGCCCTTGGGGAGAAGACCCTATGTTATGAGTGACGAGAATATAAAAGAATATTTTCAGCCAAGAAAAAACACAGTCTTTCCAGAGAGGAGGATGTAACTGCCTGCCTGCCTCTGCCAAAGCACTTGGATCCAAAGGATCACTGCTGATATTGCAGCTTAGCTGGCCAAACATCTGCACTCTATCCTGCAGAAATGCAGAGCTAATCTACTTGTTCCAAAAGAAGGCAGACATGGTGAGTGAACAGTAGCGGCGCTCCTGGTGTGGGGAGCTGCATTTTGCTGTGTAGGAGGTTCAGTCTGCTGCAGCGAGTAACAAATGGTCACAGAGTGATAACAGAAGAACAAGTAAGCCTCAACTTGCTGAACGAATCATTTTGATGTACATGGAAAAGTTCACCATTTCCTTGAGGCGTCTCCTAAAGATTGCCCTAGCTGGAAATACTAACCTTTTACTGTGGTTTTCTTTTCTTTATCTCATCGATTCCAACAGAGGGCACCGAATTCTGAATGCCCTTTGATCGTTTCTTTGAAACAAACGTTGTCTGGGATACTTTTTAGAGCAGATCCACTTGGTTTGATCATGGCTAGAATTAAAGGAGTCTAAATACTTGCCTAGAGTCACAAACATCCTTTTCTTGATTTGTTGGGTGAAAGACTGGATACTTTTACTGCCTTAATAAGGAAACCTGGACAGAATACCTACTCTGCACCTGATAAATCTTTCCAAATTGCCACAGGTGAAATGAAATGTTAATATCCCTTTCAATTATTAATAAAAATATATAAATAGGTCTTATTAGGAATGTGCAGCACTGAAAATAAAATATTTTAGTATATGTGTAGGGGTTTTTTTGCTGTTGTTCAGTTACTGAAGAACTGCATTTTTAAGGCTTCTTTTGTATTGGAATGAAAAGATAATTATTTTCATAAATTGGAGATACTGCACTAGAGGCTTTCTATACTTCATTTTGTTATGCAAATCAATTTTAATTGTAGAAAACATCAAATATGGATAAGCAAAAGGAAAAACACTTCCATAATTCCGCCACCAGAAACACCAACACTGTCCACCAGACACACCAACACTTTGTTCTTTCAGACTTTTTTCCTTGCACCTATTTATTTTCTTTACTAGACATTTTATACAGACCAGCCTGAAATCTGCTGTCCTCATTTCCCAAACAGAATTCATTTCAGTTAATACAAACCTACATCACCATTTTGATGGTAATATAGCATCCACTATGAATTCTCATTTGCTAGTTATTTGTCATGTTTCCAATTTTACAGTCATCTAAAGAAAGAAACATATCTTGTATATATATCTTTGTATAATTGCCTTATTTTTTGTACTTTTTAGACATTAAATTTAAACCACAGTGTCCCTCAATTCTTCAAGAAAAGGCTTTTGAGTTCTTGATTTTAAGGTGATTGTACTTTTTACTTTTATTTCAGGTGTATGAGCACCAAGATGGCAGCAAATCACTGAAGCTGGGTGACTTTGGACTGGCCACCATTGTAGATGGCCCCCTGTACACAGTCTGTGGCACCCCGACATACGTGGCTCCAGAAATCATTGCAGAGACTGGGTAAATGCTTCTCTTATGTTTAAGTGCTATGCTTGCAAAAGAAGTAGCCTGCTTCAAGAATAAGAAAAATAGTGCTGCATGTCCCATCCGGGCAGAATTAGCTACCAGGTTTCTTTCGCCCCCCTTTTTTTTTAAACTTTTGCAGTGGGAGCCATTTTCTCTGTTTTCCCAATCAAGTTGCCAATTACTGCAATCTTGTTTAAGGCATCCATTTGGCCTTTGTTAGAGGCAGAACAGAAGTTATTAACCACAGAGTGAGAAATGTTCAGACTAACCAAGAAACATACAGCCATGGTAATTAACTCACTTTTGGCGATAACAGAAACAGACATTGCTGTGTGCAGTGATTAGTCTCCTGTGGTCATTTCTCTCAGCTGCCCTCGTTGTCTAGTCCCAGTCCCATTTTGTCCCTCTCGGAGATCAATTGATTTTCAGTGGAGCACAAACACCCTTAGACATCAGAGGGCCACTGGGAATTTGCTGGTTTCTGTGTGCAGAATCATATGAATGACAATCTCGACTCTAGAATGGGGGAGAAGGCAGGGTATCCTATTACTTACTAAGGACCTACTATGTTCCGGGCTTTAAACTCATTTACTTAATTCTTACTCTTCTAGTAGATGGTACTATTCTCATTTTGCACATGAATAAACAGAGACTCTGAGGGTTAAGTATCATGTAAGCTTATAACTATCAGTGGCTGAGTCAGGATTTGAACTCAGGTTGACCTGAGCCAAAAGCTTTCTCAGTAAAGAGCCTATGTCTTACCAAGAGCCATAGGTAGGGCTCTGAGGTGCTGTCCTTAAACAGAAGGAATGGGGAGGGTGGGTGGCATTAGCAGTTTCAACACACACCTGGAGATCTAGGTGGCACCCTGCACTGTGACCACTTAGAGATAGTTTTTCTACTTATACCATAGACCAAAACGGCAGAAATACAGAACAGAGGAGAAGGGAATCCCAATAGGGAAATTCTAAGATGAGATGTGAAGGTTTTTAAAATTTATTTATATATATGATTTTTACATTCTAAGATATTACAGAGCAGTTGGGGGGGAGGGCAAGAAGGAAAGGGGGAGGGAAATAGGGTGAGGAGGGGGTGTGGTTGAGACATGTGGCACTCCCCTGGAATGAGGATTTTTTTATTTGTCAAAGTAGAGTGAGCCCACATCTGCACCCCTGCCAGACCTCCCTCAGATGGTGCTGCCTTGGGCACAGCCACATGTTCTCTGGGGACGTACTCTGAGAGCCTGCTGGGAGGGAGTGGTGTCAGGTGGAAAGACGATTTGTTTGTGCTCTTGAAGACCTCAGTAGGAGCCCAGCTCTGACACTGACTAATTGTGTGATCTCGAACAAAGTTACTCACCACTGGGAACCTCGGTTTTCTCCTCTGTAAACCAGGAAATACTTGACCTGTCCAACCTACAGGGTTGTTGGAAGAACAGAAGAAGATAATGTATGTCAGTGCTTTATAAATCAGAAAATGTTCTGTAAATAATTACTATTCCCAAAATGAGGGAGCTAGATAGTCTCAAGGGTCCATCCCTGTCTCAAAATTGATAGGACTATAATCAACATTTTTGGTGAAATCCTTCACTTATTGATATTTGGATATGAGCCCAGGCATGCATTATTTTGATTTTTATTCATGTGCCTTTGGTAGTCTTTTTTTTTTTAATTATTTTTTTTTCTTCTTTCCTTGAATTCTATTTAGCTGGTGGGTTTTAATTTAGTGTTTGTGATTAAGTTTTTTATTTTGTTTGATTGTATTTTTGGCTTAGAATAAAAGAGTCGTCTATTCTAGTATGCCCCATAGTCTGTCCTGGCCTGACGTTCCTAACTCTAATGTCTTTTATTTTTCCAGATATGGCCTCAAGGTGGACATCTGGGCAGCTGGTGTCATCACTTACATCCTGCTGTGTGGTTTCCCTCCATTTCGTGGGTATGGGCAGCGACCTTTTATCTGGCACCAAAAAAGCGTTTCTCTATTCTGCAAATGATCCGTTTGCTCTTGCACAGAGCAGCCTGCAGCAGGAAAAGATCATACTAAGAACTTTCCTTGCAACGCCTGTCATTTTCTCCATGTTGTGCATGCTAACTTATATGCCTTCCATAAGTCTTCCTTCATATAGATTAAAAACTCATTCCTTCTTAATTTACCAAAACAGTTCCATATTGATATTTTCAGTTGCTTAAAAACACACATTTTACAGATATATGGGAAAAGGAAGGGCCCCAGTGCATAAGAATGTCATAACCTGAGTTGACATTTTAGTGCTGTTTTTTCCTTGTCGTTCATCTAAACAGAAGTGGGGATGACCAGGAGGTGCTTTTTGATCAGATTTTGATGGGGCAAGTGGACTTCCCTTCTCCGTACTGGGATAATGTTTCCGATTCTGCAAAGGTAGGTCTCAGTGCCTTCCTCTTCCATATGCCCTGTGTGTCTACATGGAATTATTGATTCCAAATCATTGTGTGCAAACAGACTAATAGTATCATAAATATGATTTCTGTACACATTTTAGCTGTAATTTCTAGGTTTTGCAGGATTTCACAGTCATCGAGTTATCTGTTAGTAACTGTCCCAACAGGTGCTTATCAAGTGCCTCCACCTCACTGGCTTCCTCTCCCCCGGTTGTCACTCCAGTGACGTGGCTATAACCCCTCGCTGTGCCCCACCCTCGCCAGGCTTGAGCCCACTTCAGACTTCTGCATGGCGTTTTGCTTCACTTCTTTCAGGTCTTGACTTAATGTCATTTCTCAGCGAAGTCTTCCCAGACCACCCTGTTTCCAATTGCAGCTCTTAAACCACACCTGTCTCGCCTAATCTTCCTCTTCTGCTTTTTTCTATAGGCCTTACACCCTTATGTCGATCTGGTATACCATCTAACTACCTAGCTCTATCTCTCTACCTTTCTAGATCACTAGAGCCATATGGATAGGTGGTTAGGTCTTATTTCTATAGTTCATTTCCAAACTCTCCCCACTAGAATGCAAATTCTTTGTAGGCAAGGATTTTCGTCTATTTTGTTATTGATATATCATCAGTGCCTGAATCATGAAAAGTACATAACTGGTGTTCGATATATATTGAATAAATAAATAAATATATGAGTGAGTGAATTAATCAATTAACTAATAAAGGGAAGAAAGCTCAACCTCAATGTAGGTTAAAAGATTGAGAACGACTTTACGGGGAAGCTATGATTTAAGTTGAACCCTGAAGGATATCCAAGATTTAGAGGCCGAAGGGAACAAGGCGTACGGTTTTTTCCCATCAGACTAAAAGACCGACCTCGAACGTGTATGGTGGTGATGGCTGCAAACAGTGTGAATGTACTGAACACCACTGAACTATGCACTGAAAAATGGTTAAAGTGGTAAATTTTGTGTATATTTTACCACCTTTTAGAAAATAATGATAACGGATCAACCTGTAAGAAAACTGGAAACATCATACATTGAGATATTAGTCACCTTGGGGGAAAAAAGGAAAACCTTTTAATTGATCTTTTTAAAATTTATATTGTCTCCAAGCACTGACTTCAATTTTTGAAAATTTAATGTTGAGAAATAATTATCCTGTGGTCGTTCAATGTGTATGCCTTTCCTTTTGCTATGTCCTCAGTGTGAGTTCAATTTAAAAACCAGCCCCTCAGACCTGCCCACTTTGTATAGAAGATAATGTGTGTTGGATGCAAGTCTCATTTTCTTCTGCTGTCTAGGGGCCTGCCTCTGGATTTAGGAAAATGTAGGGATTGAGAGAAGTGTCAGAGGAAAGGTCCAAGGTTTAAGGAGGTGGGAAGATACAGCTGCCGAGGTGTGGGTGGAGTGTTTTCACCTGTAAGCAGCTCTTCAGGAATCTGCTCAGCTCTCAGTGGCGTCACTTCCTAACAGTCCTTGATGAATAAGACCATGTCCTGTGCCCCCACGGCACCTGGCAAAGGGCATCACAAACAGCAGGTGCTTGAATAAGTCCTGGTCCGAGTTAGAAGGAGAATGAAGAAAGCTGAGGTAGACTCTATATCAAAGGAAATAAATCATCTCCACCCGAGTGGTCTCAGGGCCCATGTATGTAAGGACGTGGATATCACACTTCCAACCGTCTCGTTATGTGGGAACCTCTACTACGAAGTGGATAAATGTGTGACAGAGTCATCATTAACTCAAAAGCTGTGCCTTCCTTTTCCAAATCAATTTGACTTCATGGGGAAGTTTCTTTAATTTCAGAATTGTCAACTCATTTACGTCAATAATTCTATTTTCTTTGTATCAATTAGTCTGGAAATTTTTGAAGCAATTTTAACACATTTCCTTGAAATTCTTTGGCTACTAAAGAATAGTTCTCTCTATTTTACCAAGTAGCTGTTAGCAGTTCCGTCTTTCCTCATTCCTTTCTTTCAAACCTAAATTTGCCATCTTGAAATTAGGGGAAAAAATCCATTTTTCCATTTAGCTGCCAAAGTAAAAATTTAATTAAGTGTCGTTAAAATGTGACTTCTCTATTAAGCTAATTAAGAAATCTGTCTTTAAAGTGCAAAACCCTAGACAAAGAAAGTAATATTTCTTTAACTTGTATAATTTCTTTCCTACTAAAAATATTTTTATGAAATTGATTTTAATATTAATTTTATTATTTTTCCACCAACGCAAGCTACTTATTTGTAATTCCAAATGTTCAGCTTTCTTTTAACTTTTGAAGACGTTATTTAGGTAGCTATGGGTAAGTGGAGTTGATATATTTAAGATTTAGAGCTTTTACAAATGCTTTTCCAAACTAAAAGAGAACGCGTGCATTTGTAAACACCTAGATTTTCACCTTAAAAGTTAGATAAATGGGATCTCACGTTCCCCTTTGCAGGAGCTCATCACCATGATGCTGTTGGTCGATGTCGATCAGCGATTTTCAGCCGTACAGGTCCTGGAGCATCCCTGGGTTAACGTAAGTGACTTGCTCCCTGCCCTATATTCACTCCTCATGTCCCTTTTAAAAACCATTTGCAGATTTCCTAATGATATGATGCTGCCTCCTGTTTAAAGTGTTGGGTTTGGGTTTGTTCCTCCCCGTCAAATATGCCAGGGCAGTTACAGGATCTTAGACTTGTTCCCTGAGGGTATCTGATGTCTCCGTGTCATTTGATTCTTGTAGGATTGCCTCCTAACTGGGGAGGTGCACGTGGTCGCTACCCCCACCCCACAACCTACTGTCTGTGAACCAGATTAGGAGTAAATAATCATCATTAAGACAAAGCAGATTTTCTGACTTAGTCTTGCTTTTTGACATTCCTACCAAAAGTACAAGTGACCAAAAGGTGTCTGCATCTAGCTGGGAGCACTCCAGCACAGCACTCCTCAAATATGAGCATGCTGACAACTCACCTGGACCTGGACATCTGCTTAAAATGCAGATTCTAATGCAGTAGGTTTGAGGCTCTGCATTTCTAAAAGCTCCCAGATGATGCCTCTGTGGCTGCTTTTTGAGTACAAGGGCCTAACGATATTTCTTCAGCTATAAAAGAATTCTCCAGAGCAGTCTCATTATTTTTAACCCTATGTCTCTCTACAACAGATTGATAAGATTTGTTTTGATTAATAGTAAACAGCTAATGCAGAGTGCCTTACTCCCAAAGTCTGCCAGCACCATTTTAAGCACCTTGGATATATTAACTGACTGTGTTCTTCCTGACAACTTTATAACTTTATAACCTAGTCACTACTGTAACCCACATTGACAGATGGGGAAGCTCCATAACTAGGCTGAATGGTTCTTATTGCCAGTATAGAAGACAAAGATTTGGATATAGATACGGACATGCACGTAGGAATGGACAACCATAAAACAGCTCATTGATAAACATCTTGCCAGCCTCTCTACTGTACTGAATGATCTGGCTGTAAGTTGAGGGCAACAAAATATTTCATTTCTCCAGATTGTCGCCTTGATGAGTAGTCAAGTGTTTTTTTCCCAAAATAACTAATTACTGAGGACAAGGCGTGATTGAAAACACAGTCAACATGTGAGGTGACAAGAGCTTGGGATCTTGCTCATGTTTTGCCACTTAATGACCAAGGACCTAGGCTCCAGCACTTTCACATCTGAATGTGATTCTTCACACACCACTGGGACGTTACATGAGTGTATGAGAGAAAAACATATATGAACATGAGCACGTAGAAATGTGAGCTGAGGTTTAAGTTTTTTCACATAGCAGAGCTTCCCAACCGGTGTACAGATGTGCAGAGATACTAATCCTCTCAGCCCCTGGGGTAGTGGAGCAGGGCAGACACTGTCCAGGAGAGGCCTCTTCCAGCCACAGGGACCTTTGCATGTACCCCAGGTTGTTAAGCAAAAATTATCCTTTTCTATGATGCAGGAAGGTTTAGGAAGCATCTTATGTGAGCCTAATTACAAACGTATAAGATAGGCAGGGTGGGAATTATTGTACCTATTTTACAGATGAGGAGACTGAGGCTGTGGAGGATGATGTGCCCAAAGTAGCCAAGCTTGCGATTGAGCCAGAATTTGCAGCCAAGTAGCATCACTCCAAGCCCATCTGCTTTAAAGTCCTAAGCACCACACTGCACCACAGCTGCCCTCCCTTTGTTGTAGATGGAAGCACTGTAAATATTGTAAAAGAACTTAGTATGGACATGGGCGTTGTTGTAATGATTCTTAACACAAGTTAGCAACCTTTCCAAAGTAACTTACCTAGGTCGTGGTGCCTTTCCCTTAGGTGTGCAGGGCGGGAGAGGCACAGCCAGCTGCAGCCTCTCTCGGTGGCAGCAGTTGGTTCTGACTAATCTACGTGAGATAATTAGAACGTGGTTCTCGTAACACCAAGGTCAAGGGTGCAGATCCCTGCACTGGCCAGCAGCCAAAACCAAAAAATAATAATAATAAATTTTAAATAAATAAATAAAAGCCCACAGAACACAAATTGTTGAATCGCCTATTAGCCTGGGGAGACTGAGACAGGATGACCACATAGAATAAACTGGAAAGTCTGAATTTGAAATATGGACTTTGAAAGTTCATAAAGAGCCATAGAGGAAAGCGATTTGTAGATGACAAATAGCCATTTTGGACTTCTAAATACATTTTCATCAAAGGACTACTGCGTGCCAGACCTACCGTCCAGGAGCAATGTCTGACACAAGCAGACAGTTACAGGGCAGTGGACAAGGGCTACCCCAGCCAGCCTCTGTGGGCAGGGTGTCAGGGAAGGCTTCCTGCAGGAGATGCCAAAGCTCGGTCCCAGGGGGGGCCCTGGCAAGATGTGGATATTTGCTGGATGATAGCTCTGTGAATGTGAGCAAATCTGACTATAGACATGAAGGGTCTGAGTGCTGAGAACACCATAATACCTTACCCTGATTCCAAACCACATGGCCCCATATCAATAATATCCAAATGCAACCAGGGTAAAGAAATAAAATTAAGAGGCTCTGGCTGTTACCTGTGAAAAACTAGGCTGCTCATTTTCCTAGGGGCACATACACTTACATCAGCAGTAACTTTCTCCCTCTTCAACCTGCTCTGTGCAAATTCTACACATGCTCCCACTTTTCTCGTAATTAGGTCCCATGGCTCCCTCTGGAACTTGGACTTCTGTCATTTTAGTTTTCCTTCTCAGATTCCCTAAAAACATTTCCTAAAAGCAAGGATAACATTTAAGTAATCATCTAGGAGATTTAAAACTAAAAAAACATCCTGTGTATAATTCAAGCAGATTTTACATTCTAAGAGAAGAAAATATACTGGTTTTTGCAAAAACTTTTTTAAAACTGGATATATAAAATAGCCACTTAACTTTTGAAATTATTTTTATGTAGAAACTAAATCAGAAAACTGATTGTTTTCTTTGCCTCAAAAAAAGAAAATGAAAAAGTAAGCTTTCACAACTATCACTTAGTTTTTGTTGAGGTCTGTCAATGCAACAAATAAACAACCAAGCAATTGATGTAATAAACTAGGAATTTAAAAAGGATATCCATTTAACAAGACGTTTTGCATTTTGCAATCAAATTATATCTGATCACGACAGAGGATACTACCTAAAGGGGAGAGAAGTAATGATAATTTTGTGAATCTGATGGAAGTCGTCAGGAAGCTCTTCCTGTGCTCTCATCAGTTCTAATTTTCTCTATCGCTTGTACAGTGACCTTTTCACCTGGCACACTTGGAATTGAAAAGGCAGTGTCTCATGAAACAGAGTCGAGCATAAGGGCAATAGAATCGAAAAACCTGGTCAGCAAAGTCACTTGTTTTAACCTCGTTCCAGGAGCCTTCTCTAAGCTCACATTTATTTTCATATTCTCCGGGTTCAAACCCCGCTGTGCTCCTCTGTACCCTTGACTTCTACTCTGCTGTTGGAAGAGTTGTGAGTGAGACCTCTCTGTGGGGGATTCTAGGGAGCCAGGTGAACAAAGCATGTCCCTAGGCAACCACGTGTCTGGGAGAGGAATGGAGACTTCCGCAGCAGCACCAGCTCACCCAACCTTGGAAGTCATTTCTCTCCTCTGAACCCATTTTCCTACCTGTGAAATAGAGAAAATGGAGAGAGGATCACGTATTTGAAAGGCCTGAGAGTACGAACTTAAGCCCTAGCCCTTCTAGGTACTTTAAATAAATATTTGGTGAATTCGAGCCTGATGAAATGCAAATTGTGACCAATGTTGGTGTATGAGAAGGAGGAAAACTTCTCATTCAAAAAATATCCTGCTTGGGTGTCACAGACTGATGGAGATAATTTGTGCATTATCAGCTCTGTTGCTTTCTCCAGGATCACAGCTACCTCCTTTAATGTATTTGCAAAATACCAACAGGGATTGTGCCGGCTAAGTGTATATCCCTTATTGCCTATCTAGTGGAGAACCATATGACATAGGCACATATAATATAAGAAAGGAATAGGTAATAATATATCTTGATCATTCCAGGGATTGGGGAGAGAGTTGAGTCACTTTCTCCCAAAATGGTGCTTTATTGATAGAAAGGGTAGGTTAGTGATAAGTTCATCAACTGAACTAACATTTCAAAAAAATTCTTATTTGTAATTAGGATCAAATTATCATTTTTGTAATATTTCGAATACATTGCTATCATTGCATTTTTATTTTCAAAATTTTGACCTATTTTATTCCATGTTATTCTCCTGATACTCTAGCATGCTATAATTCTGTGAATCTATGTTTAACCCCAAGTAATTTTCCCACTTTTGCTGATGAGGAAAGTGAGGCTCAGTGGAGTGTCTAGCACAAGGTCTGGTGCCTGGGTTTTGCCTCCAGGGATTCTGATTTAACTGGTCTGCTCTGACATCTGGGCATCGGGACTTTTAAAAGCTCCCAGGTGATTACAATGTGAGACCAAGCTTGAGAACCCTTGTTTTCGTGGAATGGACTGGTTTAAATAAGTCAAGTATAATTATTTAGCCAATTCAAGACTTCCTATCACCTTCCTGGCCTTTAAATTTTATTTTACCTCCTTTTTCTCACCTACATACATTTTTGAAGAGATACTACTAAGTCAGTGTATTAAAAAAGAAAAAAGAACAAGCGAAAGAAGAAAAAATAGTAGACTGGATCACCTCCCAGGATATTTCATGCTTACTAATAAAAATCAGCCCTGCCCACACTATGCATTTATCTTATTGTGGTGGAAGAATTTGTTAGACATTAGATGAACCCCAATGACACTGTAATAATCTATAAAACCACTTTTATCTATATTCATAAACTATAAATGATAGCATAGAATTTTACTTTCCACTGGGGCGTCTTGTCCTCTTTGCTCCAAGGTGAACCTTGGTTTACTTTGCATTTTCAACCCCCCTGCAGTGTGAACTGTAGACACAGAGGATGCACAGGGCCATGCTGAAGGGGGTTGGAGGTGCTGGGGTGCTGTAAAGCTGGGGATGGTTTACAAGAATCAAGGGGCAGCTC